AACTGGAACAAAAAGACCTTGGAAGAAAGTTGTTAAAAAGGACTATTCTTTCCATTTTAGAGCTGTGTGTGGCCTTCAAATTTGTAGAAATACATGTATGTTAGATATTGTTAGTAACAAGACTGGCATAACTTCCAGTCAGAACTACTATTCATATTTCTAAAGAGAAACTATGGCATATGGATAAACCACAGACCAGGACTTTCTTAGATAATTCTAGGTCACAAGGTCACAACACACTGAAAACCACATCTTCAATTCTGTATCACAAAGGCCAGAGAGAACTCAAGTCCCAACACTAGATAACCCCTATGGTCTCTAAGGAATTGGTATTATAAAATGCCTCACCTCAACAAACGTCCTGAGTGTAGTTTCAAATCCCATCTCCAATTTTCACTACATATTTTAGACATAAGAAAAAACAGTTGAAGTTTGTTCATTAACAATGTTTCTACTTTGTTGTAAATAAATCTGCCTTGTAGTAAAATAGTCACATAATTCAAATGAAAACAAAAATCATAGGAAACTTAAAAAGTCAATTATCCTCCCAGGGAAAAGTATTAATATTAAAATCTCTATCAATGTATTTAATCAAAAACATTAAATGACCAGGTGTGGTGTCGGGCTGGGCAGATAGCTCAGTTGGTAGAGTGCTTGCCTTGCATGCACAAGGCCCTAGGTTCAATCCCCAGCACCACAAAAAAAATAAAAATAAAAATAAAATAATCAGGTATGGTGATGTACATATGTAATCCCAGTGACTCAGGAGACTGAGCCAGAAGGATCGAAAGTTTGAGGCCAGCCTCATTAATTTAGCAAGACTCTGCTTCAAAATAAAAAATTAAAAGGATGACTCAGGGCACAGTGGCGCATGCCTGTAATCCCAGCAGCTCAGAAGGCTGAGGCAGGAGGATTTGCTAGTTCATAGGCAGTCTCAGCAACTTTGTGAGGCACTTAGCAATTCAGTAAGACCCTATCTTTAAATATTTTTAAAAGGGCTGGGGATGTGGCTCATTGGTTAAACACTCCTGGGTTCAATCCCTGTACCAAAAAAAAAAAAAAAGGATTGAGATATAGCTCAGTGGTAAAGCTCCCCTGGGTTCAATTCCCAGTACCAAAACAAAACTAAACAAAAACAAAAACAAAAAAAAAAACTTAAATAAATAGGGCTGGGGTTGTAGCTCAGTGATATAGCACTTGCCTAGCACGGGTGAGGCACTGGATCAGATCTTTGGCACCACATAAAAATAAATACAACTAAAAATAAAATAATAAATAAAAACAAGCATTAAATACATAAACAGAAGTCTAAACCCCAAGACACATTCACTCCTTCTTAGCAACAAATGAGTTAAAAAGTGATAAAAATTCCAGGAGCAGTGGCACAGGCCTGTAATCCCAGTGGCTTGGAAGGCTGAGACAGGAGGATTGCAAGTTCAAATCCAACCTTGGCAATTTAGTGAGACTCTGTCTCAAAACAAAAAATAGAAAAGGTTGAGGATGTAGCTCAATGGTAAAGCGCCCCTGGGTTCAATCCCTGGTACCAAAAAAGAAAAAATAAGTTGCATTAACTTTACCTAGGTAACTAACATTACCCTAGGGCAAGAGAAATATTCAGGGAGTCACACATTTCCCTTGATGTCAATTTTAAAAATTAAAGAGCTGGTTTCTTTGATAAGAAAAAAGGGAGAACAAAAAAATTTTAAATTATATCTTTAAGCTTCTGGTCCAATAAAATTTTAAAAATTGCCTCATGGCCACAATATCAAAGTCAATTCCATTTTCCCTCCAAAATCATGAGTCATATCAAACATTTGGTGTCCATGAAAACTGCTGCTGTTTAAATTCATTCGATTAAAAATTGAGTTCCCAGGGGCTGTGGCTCAGTGGTAGAGTACTCGCCTAGCATGTGTGAGGTACTGGGTTGGATCCTCAGCACCACATAAAAATAATAAATGAATAAAGATATATATGTATATTTGAGTTCCCACACCTAAACAAGTATAATCTAAATTCAACCAGAAAAGCTGAATACCAACTTTACCTATCCTACAGTTCCATGCTTACACTTAGTATCAATTTTTTTTCTCAAATTGGGGTAAAAAAAAGCACGATAAAATTTCACGAGTGTAGCTATTAAGTACACAGAACCTGATGAAAAGGGAAAATGGATGTTCTATACTCCAACCTCTCCTGTGTGACTTTTCCCAAAAAATGGTTTAAAATTGTTTATATGCTAGTTTATTATTTTTTTAATTTTATAGTTGTTGATGGGCCTTTATTTTAGTTATTTATATGTGGTGCTGAGAGTGGCTAACCCAGTGCCTCACTCGTGCTAGGCAAGCGCTCTACCACTGAGCTACAATCCCAGCCCCACATATACTACTTTAAATGAGACTAAACCCTTACGTGCCAAATCTTAACTTGCCACGGTAATGGAATAAAGAGCTAAGCATATAGTCGTCTTCTCTCAGACAATGCCAAAGTTTTGAGTCAATAATTTCACACGACTCTCCCATTAACTTTCCATGAACCTAACTAACAAAAAAATAGGCTGAGATTTCAAATCATTTCTTGCTCTTCTTCTGGCGGAGGCAGAAAGAGGGGGCACGGCAGAGAAAAAGGAGCACAAACACGGGGTATTCGAAAATAAAACAGTCCTGAGTGAGGGACAACTACTGGAAAACAGAGAGAAGAAAAAGAAGAACTTTGCATTCTCAGTCCTCAGACTCCGTTCCAGAATTCAGCACTACTTTCCAAAAGCAATGGCATTAGACCAAATTACTAAATATCACCCACAATCTTCCGCTTCGACTCCCCGACACTTTGTCCAACCACTCTCAGTTATGACACTCCCAGGCAGTGCTTGCGGAGCAGTGCTAATGCATCCCAAGTAAGGGAAATCTGAGGCCCAGAGGGGGCACGGCGAGCTTGTAAAGAAAACTCCCAGAGTTCGCAAGCGGGGACCCGAACAGAAAGTCTGCTCACGGTGCAGGCTGCAGAGCCGTCTCTTCTGGTCTTCACCTTTACACAAGGGTGGTCCACCTGGGACTGGGGACAGAGGGCTCTCTCCCGCCGCCGCCTCAGTCCCTCGGGACGCGGCGCGAGCCCCTACACTCTGCCAGCAGAGCTCCGGGACAAGACCTCCACCTTCTCGCTTCAACCCTCCGCCCCGCTCAATAGGATACAACCGCCATCTCTTTCTGACCTGTCCCCGCGGGGTCCGAGTCCGTAGTGCGACGCCTCCATGCCGGCCGCTTCACGAGCGGCACCCACCACCAGACCCCGGGACGCCGATGCTGGGGTGGCAAGTCTGGCCCGCAGCCGGACCCCGCCCCCTGGCAACCACACCCCGCACTGTCGCCACCGCCTATTGGCCCACGGACCGGCCGCTCCTCCCTCATTGGCTATTGGTGCCAGCCGGCGATGCGGGAGGGTTTCTAGGGGGCGGGAGCAGCGCGGGAGTTAAAGGCGCCTGCGCAGGGGCAGGGATGACGCGCCTGGGCTTGGTCCCCTGGAGAGCTCCGCCGGGCAGGGGGCTGCGACCGAGGGCAGAAGTCTGTGATCTCGGTTGCCTTTGCTCCCGCTTGCTGAGAAGCGGCTCAGTGGGAGGAGCCCATCCCCCAATACCGCCACAAGTATTGGCTTCCCGCACCCCAGCGGTGAACCAAGGCCACCCAGAGTGCTCCCAGGAGTCTGTAGGTCTCCATTTACAAAACCTCTACAGCCAGCTTCTCCATAGTCTGGTCCTTTCCTTGATACCAGAGGCCTTCCTGGAACCACGCCTGTGCCTTCACTGCACAACACTCTTTCAGCCTCCAACTAGTACAGCCCAAACTTCTTGATCATCCCCAAACCTGCTCTGAAAACACACCAGAGAATCCATCTACCTCTCTACTGCCTGTGGATCTTCTTCAAACATTTCAAACATCGTTATCCAAGAGAGCCACTATCTAAACTTGGTAAACTTACACTCTTGTTTCTAATAAATCACGTACCCAACCATCATTCCCTTCTCGTTACCAACATAGCATTAGCATTATAGCCCCCACAGAACTTCCTACCAGAAGTTACTTACACATAGACTACTAGCATTCTGAGATCAAAGTTTGCACATTCGTTTTGAATCCAGAAGTTAATTTGTTAAGGAGAACTTTGGAGAACACAGCATTGCACTCACTGGGTCAGCTTCCACTCACTGGGTGACACTGAACATGGTTCATTTCTTTGTTGTCCTCTCCCCCGCCACCCAAATGGGGGATGGATCCCAGGATCTCAGCTTGGCAGGCAAGTGCTCTACAACTGAAGCACATCCCCAACTCTTGTGGTTCATTTTCTGTGCTTTAAATTCCCATCTATAAAATAAGCAAAACCTGACAGAGTAGGCTTATGTAAAGGCTAAATGATGGGGTTGAATGAGATCACATTTGTATGAGTAAAATGATGGCTGAGACATTTCTTTGGGCAGTCCTTCTGCATTAATTACCATAAGCAGTATTCTTTGAAAACTTTCCATATTTATTTACCTCAGTTTAAATCCTTAGCTTAAGAAACCATTTTTCCACCCTATTTAATTTTACAATTTCTTTCAGTTGGAAACAAAAATATAAAACACAAGCAAACCTAAGTGACTATAGTCTGTGACCCCTTCATCCCATTGTATTCACGAAAACAAGGCTTGCTCCATTTCATCTTGCCTTTTCAGATGAGCCAAAGTTGGAGAGGTGGCAGTCAACCATAAAAAGTCTGAGTTTCCTTTGACTTTTTTCCATCCATTAAGTCAAAGAGGAAGCTGCCACTGAGCCTCAGAGTTAGTACTCAAAAAATGTGGACTGGGCTGGAGTTGTACAGTGCTGACCTAGCATGAAGAAAAAAAATCCCAGCACTGGGGGGGTAAAAAAAGTGGAATTAATTAATTTAAATGAGATTAAAGGATTAAAGAATAGAAATAAAACCTTTTGTGGATAGGCAATATTACCACAATACTAACAGAAGCAAAGTTCTCTAAGAACCTTCTGTAGCCCTTTATTTACATACATTTTAAACAGTTAATGCAAGATATTTACAAATTTTAAACAATAAAAGAAAAATATGAAGTGAACAGTTCATGACACTAAATTCAACTGTTTATGAAATATTTTTAATCTGGGATTGAATTCCCTTGCTACTCTAGGGCTCTAGTTAAAATATTTTTTCTGTTGGCACTATTCTATTTTATTCTTTCAATAAAGTCTGTTATAAACCAGAAAAAATGACTTTATCAACTTCATGAAATTTAGCAATTTCTGAGACTATGATGAGAGAACATGATGTCTGAGAAATCCAGTCAGCTTTTTACAAGGAACTGGCTACTGTTCAGCTTCCCTCTCTCCTTGAGGTAAGTCAACAGGTGCCTTCGTCTCCTCCATGTGACCTTTATCCCATACTTCTCTTCAGGGGTGTCTTTAACCAGAATAGGTCCAGGTTCTGGGCTGGTAGGAGTACTAGTTTGAAGGACACAGCTTACAAGGCTGTTTTCCCTCTGATCTGGGGAAAAGGAGTTCTCCTTCACAGATGATGACTCTGGGGTCTGGATATCAGGCGGAATAAACACATAAGGAAAGTTCTGAAATGCATTTGCTGACAGTTCCCCACAGCTTTGGGGACTGAGCACTGGAATTAAGGGTTTTCTGGAAATGTCCTTTCCTGATTGATTGGGGCATCCCTTTACTAAGGGGATCCCCAGTGTCTCTGAACTGGAAGACAGCTGTGGACTCTCAAAGGTTAGACATGGAAACTTGCAGGTAGATTTTCGGCTTGAATGTCTTGCTTCGTCTTGGTGACGATGTTTCCGGTGGGCTGGGAAACAGCTTTCTACTGTTGTGTCAAACTGAGGTGTTACCTAAGGATCAAAAAAAAAAAAAAAAAAGTGAACCAACTAGGCAAGAAAATGACATCCAAAGAGCAGAACCCTAAATGCGGTCCCACTATAGTAATGGACACAGAACAAAAATAGTTGTCTAGTAAGACAATAATAATAGATAAAGGGGTCAAGGGTGTGGCTCAGTGGTAGTGTGCTATACCTAGCATGCATGAGGCCCTGGGTTCAATCCCCAGCACCACAAAAATATGTAATAATACTAATAATGGTAACAACAACAACAATAATAATAGAATATGAGTTTTAGGCAAGTTATTCAATCTCTCTGGTTTCAGTTTCCTCCTATATAAGAGAGAGGACAATGCTTCTTTCACTTTATCACATCATATAGCTACAAATGTTTAACTGTCTTTAAACTTCGTGAGGGCAGGATTGGGATAGAGCACGTACTTAGCATGCTCAAGGCATGGGTTTAATGCCTAGTTCAAAAACAAAAAGAAAACAAAACAGGGCCGGGATTGTGGTTCAGCGGTAGAGCGCTCGCCTAGCAGGGGTGGGACCCGGGTTCCATCCTCAGCACCACATAAAAATAAAGGCATTGTGTTGTGTCCAACTACACCTAAAAAATTAAAAAAGAAAAAACAAAACAAAACAAAAGTCATAAGGCAACAACCAGTAATCTTTTTCACCACTGACTTCCCAACATCTTGCAAAGTGCCTGACACACAGAAGGCCTTAAGTAAATAAATGTCAGACTGCAAGAATAGGGCACAAGATCATATACAGAAAGTGACTAACATAGGACCTGGCACACAATGAGTACTCCGTAAGTGTTCATTCTCATCCATAGAATTTTAAACTGTAAGTTGCTTCTATAATAATGAAGTAATATGCTTCTTCCAAGCTGTCCTGATCAAATTATATTTATTAAGCACTGTTAAGCACAGCATATGCTCTTGGCCTTTTTACTATACTATTTCTGTTATATAGTAGCTATATTTTCTTCCTGGATCTCCACCCACTACCCCACCTCCTTTTTTGTGCTGGGGATTGAATCCAGGGCCTTGTGAATGCTAAGCAAACCCTCTACCACAGAATTACATCCCCAGCCTCACTAAGGCAAATATGGTATGTGCCATTTTGGGTGATTTTTTCTTTTTGTCAAGCTTCAATCCATTAAACAGTGGACAGAGTACTTAGCTAAATACTCTATCTTTGACATGAAGTTCAGGGAACAGTCTCATTTTTTATTTGTCTGCCAGTGGTCTGGTTTCTCACCTACTTACTAGGAAATGAAACTTTAACACCAAACTTTTGCAGAGGAATGTGGTAGTAAAGACTCCAATTCCATACCTGGCTCTGACCTAAGAAAAGAAGATATACCAGGGAAGATGGCTGACCACAGGAAAGCATACATTGCTTTCATGGACCTTATTCTTTGGAAGCCCTGGTTCAAGAAGAGTTAACAGATCTTTTTATTTTGAGACAGGATCTCACTAAGTTGCTTAGGGCCTTGCTAAGTTGCTGAGACTGGCCTCCAACTTGCAAACCTCCTTCCTCAGCCTGGGATTACAGCTGTGTGCTACCATGCCCAACAATTAAGAGTTGACATTCTAAAAAGCCTAACAGTAAAAATCAAAGTAAGGATCCCCTACCCAAGAAGTGATAGTGCTGTGGTCTATAGGCTTGCTGGGCACCTGTCTAGTGTGGGTGATGGGCCTCTGTGGAGCTCCATAGTGATGTTTGGGGCCCTCCAGTGGCTGCTGGTGGAATAACAGCTGAGCTTTGCGGGAAGATTGGCCGAGTCTTCTTTTGGGAGGCATCAATAGGTGAATGAAGGGCAGTTAGTAACCACATGGTGCTGGCTGCCTTTGGGTTGTGGAGTAGGTTCCAATTCAAACCCATGCCTGCAGAGAAGAAACAAAAGCTGCGAGAAAACAATTCAGATGATTCCCCAGCTCTTCCTGATACCCTGCCAGTCAATTCTACCAGAAATTACCACCTTGACTTCAAAAGATTGTGAGGAACACAGCCTTTTTTTCTTTTATTTTTTTTAAAGTTGTAGATGGACACATTATCTTTATTTTTATTTATTTATTTTCACGTGGTGCTGAGGATCAAACCCAGGGCCTCATGCGTTCAAGGCGAGCACTCTATCACTGAGCTACATTCCCAGCCCAAGCATAGCCATTTTTTTTTTTTTAATTTTGATTCAGATTCTTGCTAAATTACTTTGGGACTCACTAAGTTGCTAAGACTGGCTTTGAACTTGTGATCCTCCTGCCTCAGTCCCTCAAGTCACTGGGATTATAGGCAGGCACCACTGCACCCAACAACCACAGCTTCTAATACTAATACATATACCACCAAGCAAAAACACAATTTTCATATCCAACAAGGCTTATTCAATAAATATTTATTGAGCTCATGTTAACTGCCATACTGGATGCTGGGAATATAAAAAAAGAATATTTATTCAACAATCACTTATTAAATGCCAAACTCTTGGAGCAATACAGAGGTTCCTATCTTCAAAGACCTCAGAGTTGGACAGTAGCTTAGTGGTAGACTGCTTGCCAAGCATGCATGGAGATTGGATTCTATCCCTAGCACTGCAAAAAAGAAAAGGAACTGAAAGTCCAGCAGAGAACAGACATTTTCAACACAAACAGTACAATATATTTCAATATAATGTTACCATTTGCTTCATGAGAGGCTTTCTGGACAAGGTTATTCCTGACCTATGAATGGAATGGCTTGGAGAAGCAAAAGGCAGGGAGCGTTTTCCAGCCTGAGGAACAGCATATACAAAGCCCATCTTGGTAATTTGGGAATTATAAACTCGGTGTGGGTGGGTACAGAGTATGAAAAGAAAGGGTAAGAAATGAGGCTGGACATGTTGTCAGTGTCAGTTAGAAAAACCAGGTGAAACCATAGGATTTGGACTTGAGCCTGAGTAGTTGAGTATTTTCAAGCGAAGGAATATGATCATATTTGGCTTTTCTTATTTTTTCATCCCAGATAATTTCAAATATAAATAAAAGTAGACTAATATAATGGGCCCCATGTACTCATCACACAGCTCCAACCACCATCAATCCATGACCAACCCTGACCTGACCATGCTCTGACCCATTAACCCCACCCCTACACTATGTTGAAGAACATATATTGTGAATCATTATATCATTCCCATTTACATAACTAAATAAATCAAATACAGATTCCTTAATATTGTAAAATAACCAGGAAGTGTTCAAATTTTCAAATTGTTTCATAAACATCCTAATTTTTTTAAATTTATTTGTGTACTTTATACAGATTATCCTGGCCACAGTATAAAAGGAGAACAATTACCTTGGAAGTGTGAAGACCTGTTAGGAGGTTACTGTGTCATCTAAGTGAGAAATGATGGGGGCCTAAATCCAGGCTGTCAGTGGAGAGGGGAGGCTGACACACAGAGGCAAGGTCCGCAGATAATGTGTCCATTGGATCTAGTAACCCGTGAACTTTACTAAGAGCCTTTCCTGTGGAATGGTGGGACAGACAAGTGTGAATACAGTAGGTAGAGAATGAAATGGGAGTTGCCGCTGAGCACACTGGAAAGCCACACAATAGGGCAGAATGGTTCTACTATACAGTACTATACTATTCATTCATTTGATCAACAATAAAAAATTATACACTGTGACTTAAATGACAAAGCAGTGGAGGGAGATATAAAAAAAGAAAAAGGCATAACATCTCCACTCTAAAGGACTTACATTCTAGTTGGGAAGTGAAGAAAAACCAAACACAATAAGGGGTTTCAATGGCTTTATGCTTTTATAGACAGGTTTGTCAGGGAAGGCCTACCTGACCTGAGTAAAGAAAGGAGAAAAAAACAGGTAATGGAAAGACAGGAGCAAAAATTCCAGGTTAAGAGAAGAGTAAATGCAAAGACTCCAAGGTAGAACTCTGACATGTTCAAGAAACTGGCTAAGGCTCTGCCTCCTCTGACTGGCACCACACCCATTCAAGTGTCTTAGCTCAAACCTCTCAGCTTCACTTCAATCTCTGTGCTCAGCATGCCTCCTACAGACTGGCAGCTAGCGCACACATAATTCCAACTACTTAGACTTTCCCTCCCTTCTTTGTAGAAGGCACCCACTTTTACAGGAAGCCTCAGTTCATCAGAAAAGCCTTCCCTGTCCTAAGGTAAGATCTCATCATAAGTAATAGGCAGGAGAATCACCTGAGGCCAGGAGTTCAAGACCAACCTGGACAAATTAGGAGGCCTGGTCCCCCATCTCCCGGCCCCACCCGCTACAAAAAAAAAATAATAAAGGCGGTGGGGGTCCGGCCTATCATCCCATCCACTCGGGGGACTGAGGCCAAAACCACAAGTTCGGGGCCAGCCGCAGCAACTTAGTGAGACCGTCTCAAATTTTAAAAATAAATAAATAAATAAAAGGGCTGGTGATGTCGCTCAGTGGTAAAGTGTCCCTGGGTTCAATCCCCGATACGGAAAATAAAAAAAATCAAAGTATCTCTGACCTACTTTGTCACTTTACAGCTATAATTAAGTATGTGTTTATTTGGTTCTTGGACAATGTCTGCTCTGTGAGGATGCTCGGGGGAAGGAAAGGACCTCGTCTGTGGTTGTATTTTCAGGCTCTAGAAGTGCCTGGCACACAGCAGCGGCTCGACAAAATTTGAATATGCACTAGTCCTTCTAAAGGTTTGGCTTCAGAGGGGGAAGAGAGACCCGCGGAGAAGACGCCAAGACGCCGCGCTGAGCCAGGGCTCCTGGGGAGTGCGCGCGCGTGGGTTGGAAACCCGCCCTGGAACAGGACGGCAGGCCGCCCGCGGTCGGGGGAACCCGACCCTCTAACTGGATGTAGGCCGAGTGCGATCTCCGCGGGACGCAAACAGACTCAGACCTTTAAAGACGGTGAGCAAAGCCGGAGGGGAGCTAGGGCAGCGTCGCCTGGCGGGAAAAGGCGAACGCGCGTGCGGGGGGCCGAGCAGACGGAGGGCGCCAGACCGCGGTCCCGCCGTGCCCCCGCGTCTTCACACTGCCCTCGGCTCGCCCTCCCCGGCCGCGGGGACCCCCGGCTGCCAGGCCCCGGCCGCCGCTGCCCCACGAGCCGCCAGCCGCCTTACCCGCCCGGCGGGGCCGCGGCCGCCGCTCCTCTCTGCGCAGAGCGTTCGAACCGGAACGCGGAGACACGTCGGCGCCGATTGGCGACGCTCCGTCACGTGATCGCAACGCTCCGCCGGCGCCAATTTCAAACAGCGGAACAAACTGAAAGCTCCGGTGCCGGACCCCACCCCCGGCCCCGGCCCGGGACCCCCTCCCCTCCCGGGCTCCCCCGGGGTTCCCACCCCTCCCGCACCGCCGGGACCCGGCCTGCCTGGCGCGAGTCCGTTTCCGGGCCCTGCCCCGGCCCCAGGTTGGAGAAGCCACAGGCGGCGGCCCTGGGATCTGGAGGTGAGCGGGGCGCAGGCATGGATCCCGGGCCCTGCCCTGGCGGAGCGGGGAGAAGGGCTCGGGCGCCGCTTCCGAAGGTCCTGCGTGAATTCATGGCGTCCAGCTGCAGGACGCGGGACGCGAGCGGAGGTTTGGGGCCACTCGGGAAGGGGATCTGGGCGAGGGTGCAAAATATATATATATATTTATTTATTTATTTATTTTTATTTTTATTTTTTTTCTGCATCCAGTCTTCTGGCCTTGGCCATCTCGCTTCTTTCTCCATGCACCCCTTGGGCTTCCCTGCAAGTTTGACTTCTGCACCCTGCCCATGGCTCCAGAAGTGGCCTACTCTCTGAGTAGGGGACTGGGGCTGGGATGAAAACTGAGCTGGTTATGCATTGAGTAAAAGACCATCCCACATACACGCTCCCCTGCGCCCGGGTGTTCTCACCATTAGGCAACACTGCCTCCACCCTCTGCTTTTGCATGATTCTTGAGAGTGTATCAAGGTTTCCCTGTTCAGAATGGGGATTGGAGCAAAGGAGTGACGCTATAAAGTGTTGGCATTATTAGGAAGAGGCAGGTTAAAGGAGTTGAAGAGAAAAGACTCACTCTGTGGAAAAAAGGGAACAGTGCTTACCTATTGAGGTGAGTGGGCCTGGAGGGATATGAGGCAGAATTAAAATTGAGTTTTGAAGGTAGAGAAAACTGAAATATAGAGGGAAGGAAGATGACAGGGTGGGGAAGGCCTGAGAACTCTAAGCAGATGGTAAATGTCAAAAAAGTGCACTCATTCTTATGGGCATAGAAGGTGTCCTCAAAAGGGTCATCGAATTCCTCTGTCTCTCAAAGGACCTCAAAATATAATGCTAGGATTGTACTTAATGGTAGAATAGTTCGCATATCTATAAAAATCAAAATAACCCCCCCCCTTTTTAAAGATAAGATTTCTTAGCATTTCAGAACCACCTTAGCATATTAATTATAGCACAATCTAGAAGTCCAGAGATAGTTATAGTCTTGGTTCTGGAAGATAAATTAAATAGTAAAGTAGCATTCTTACAAAGTTAAAATATGGTGGAGCTCAGGATATAGCTCAGTTGGTAGAGTGCTTGCCTTGCATGCACAAGGCCCTGGGTTCAATCCTCAGCACCACCCCCCAAAATAAAACAAAACAAAGGTAATATATGCAAAAACAGCTGGGCATGGTATGAGCACATACCTATAATCCCAGCAGGTTGAGGCAGAAGGATTCCAAGTTCAACCTGGAAAAATTAAAGCCTGTTTCAAAATAAAAAGGTATGGGGGGATAGTTCAGTAGTAAAGAGCCTCTGGATTCAAACCCCATTACTGGGTGGGGGTGGGTATATGGAAATACTACAATGTCACTATATAGCTCTTTTGCAAATTGTGAAAAAATACAGTTTTTAAAAATTAATACAAGAGATGAGCACGGTGGCACACACCTATAATATCAGCGACTTAGGAAACTGAGGCAGGCGGATCACAAGTTCAAGGCCAATCAGCAATTTATCAAAGCTCTAAGCAATTTAGCAAGATCCTATCTGAACATGAAAAGGTCTGTGGATATAGTTCAATGGTAAAGTGACCGTGTGTTCAATCCCCAGTACCAAAACTTAAAAAAAAAAAATAATGCAAGAGGGCTGGGGTTGGGGATCAGTGATAGAGTAGGGATCTGTGAGAGTATTTGCTTAGCATTCATAAAGACCCTGGGCTCCATCCCTAGCACTACCAAAAAAAAAAAAAAAAAAAAAATTCAAGACTCCTATGATGTAAATTGTACCCAATAGAGTTGTGCAGTGCAAAATCTGTATTACTTTATCATGGGCTTTTTGAATAGAGAAGTTTTGTGAACTGGGAGATGATTTCTCCAGTGATGTGGCATTACTACAATCTGCCTTTATCTCCTGATTCTGTAGGCATTGATTGTTATCATTTACAAAGTAAATTGACATAAAAATATAAAGGATATTGACATAAAAATATAATCTCAGCTACTCAGAGGCTGAGATAGGAGAACCATAGTTTGAGGCCAACCAAGGCAATTTAGTGAGACTCTGTTGAAAAGAAAAATGAAAAGGGTTGGAGCCATAGCCCAGTGGTAGAGCATTTCTGGGTTATATTTCTAGAACAATAAGGAAGCAAATATGTATTTGTGTGTCTATGTACACAAATATATACACACACATTTATACAAGGGCTTTATCTAATATATACACACACATATTTGTACAAAGGCTTTATCTAAGAATAGGTTATTGGATCAGAGTTTTGTGCGGGCTTCTAATTATCATGTTTTCCTATTTCAGCATTTTCCATTTCCATCCCTATAGTCACTATAAGTAATCTATCTGTATTATAGTTGGCAATAATAGTTTTCAACATTTTTGCAGCTGTCTCACTCATTCTTGTAGTCATTCTTAAGCTTCCAGGAGACATTTGACTATCTCCAGTCCAATCTGTCTCCCACCACCACCTTGAATTACTTGCTACAGTTGTAGCTTTCTTTGGCCAGTAGGGTTTATCTCCTTATTGTCTGAGGTTTTTATAAAGGACTAGGGAGCATTCACCTGGGCCTTTAGGCTTATGTTCTTGACCATATGTGCAGAGGAACACCTTTCTGTGAGAGAACCCCTTCTCAGCTTAACAATCTCTTTATGTCCTACTGTTCCTTGTACCTTGTAGGGTCCATTCTTGTGATTCTCAATGGAGAGTGAAAGCACAGATTAATAATGAAAACCAGCCCCCGGCGGCCACTGATTCTCAAAAGACGGAGGCTGCCTCTTCCTGTTCAAGATGCCCCACATGACACACCAGAGGAGGAACCTAAGAGACCCCCTGCCCAAGAGGAGCCTAGTCAAGTACAGGCCTCCAAAGAGGTGGCCGAGTCCAACTCTTGCAAGTTTCCAACTGGGATCAAGATTATTAACCACCCTACCATGCCCAACACACAGGTGGTGGCCATCCCCAACAATGCTGATATCCAAAGCATCATCACAGCATTGACTGCCAAAGGAAAGGAGAGTGGCAGCAGTGGGCCCAACAAATTCATCCTTATCAGCTGTGGGGGAGCCTCAACTCACCCTTCAGGACGTCAGCCTCAACCCCAGACCAGCAATGATTCCAAGAGGACAGAAATTATTACAGAAATATTGGGACCAAGGCCTGCCACTAGGGATGCAAATGTTCTTAGACCACCTGGACCCACTCTGGGGCAGAGACTGGAGAACTGTGGTATGTGGTCTGCAAGGCAAAGGGATGAGGAGCCTGGCCTTTCCTCTCTAGTGGCGAGTCAGCCATGTTGATGCCCTCAACAGATAGGCTGAACCCAGGGAAAGTCTTGACTTTTTCATCCTTAAACCTTGATACAGATTCTCTGGTACTGTCGAGAGTTATAATCATAACTTAGCATTTTTATTGCCTTCTCAATTTTGGAAAATGATTTATTATTTTGGTTTATTCTTTCCATTGAACCTGTAAGGAATTAAATCTTTCTTCATTGTAAAGGAGCAAACTAAAGCATGAGAAAGAAAAGTGACTTTTTTTGTGTAGATATTAAGTAACTCATTTATAAGGTTGCCACAATTGATGATTAAGGTTTAGTGTGGCTCATACTGAAATGCAATTTGAACTATGCTCTTGAATTTCTCCTGAAACCCATTTTGGGTTAGAGTAACTAGAGCTATGGGAGATTTACCATGTGTTCTCTTGTCCCTAAGGGTAAAAGAGTGATTCCCTAACCACCAATACTGATGGGCCTATTGGGATAAGCAGCTGATCCTATTGGATCAGGCAGCTAAGTGGGGTCTTGGATTGTTTCCCCTCTAGCTGGTGGTGACACAACAGGCTGCACCCTGGACAACAGCTTAACCAACATCCAGTGGCTTGAAAAGATGAGTTCTGATGGACTGGGCTCCTGTAGCATCAAGCAAGAGATGGAGGAAAAAGAGAATTGTCACCCGGAGCAGAGTCAGGTTAAGGTAAACCATTCTGTCATTCACTGGGAAAATCAGAGCCAATGCAGGGAATTTCTAAGAGGAAAAATGGATCAAGTGGCTTGCTGGAACAGAATTTCCAAGTTCTAGTAAAAGCACTCAGTGCTCTTCTGTATAACTTTTGAGCTACTTTCTACCTGAGATCTTTTTCTCCCCATCTGTGAAACTTCCTTGAGGGCAGACTCTGAGCACTGGGTTTAGTATTCTACCCTTCTAGATATTCAAGAAATGAGTAATAGTCTTACTTTGGGAAGCTATTTGAACTCTAAGTAAGTAACACAGCTATATAAATTGACTATGGCTTTTTTCTTTTTTTTTTTTTTTTTTTTTTTTGGTACT